GTGGTGATGTGCACCTCTTGAACCATCGATCTCTGGGTCTGCTACCAAATGTCTACAACATCCTTGCCAACGTCAACCTACATCATATCCGGAAAGATCTGGAACTGTTTGCCAGTTTGGAACAAACGGACTCCGAACAGGGTTCTCCATTATAGATCACATTCATGTCGTGATGCAGCTAAGAGAGTACCTCAAAGAATACCAATCGCCTCTCTCCCAATGATTGGTCGACTTTACAAAAGGGTTACATTCCATCGAGTTTACACGACTGCAATATCACCCCTGTCTGTTTCTAGCTGATCGAGGAACAGAATGCCGACAGCGTAGCTAATATGAAGCTGTTTGAGGAACTGCGTCGAATCAAAAGAAGAGCATGCCAACAAGACACCATCTCTCATGGGCCTAAATCCCTCTATGATTATTTGAACTGAGGTTGTGACATTAACATTGACGGAGAACGGCTCATCTCTCTGATCTTTGGAGACTGTGTCTTAATCTAAGCCGAAGAACGAGCGGAACTCCAAACAATGATTTTGCAATTGCAGAAGGAGTCTCACGCTTAAAACCTAGAGATGAACATCTGTGAGACGAAATAGATTTGTAATAAGCACAGTTCTGCGGGTGCCATCTTTCTTGACGGTGTAGAAGCGACGAAGTGATATATACGCATTTACCTACTCCATCCAGTAGCCTCCAATAGCAACATCAACGGTTCGATCAGAAGTGAGAAGGTGGCATGAAAATCTTTCAGTCACATCAAAAAATCAATGATGGATTGCCAACCGCCCATGTCAACGAAGAAGGAACTGTTTAACTCTTCCGCCTTATCTGCCATGTTGTATTGGGTGGAGTATTAGTCAGTCACCAAGGCAGGAAAAGAAACAAGCAGTAACGCGATTTCTGATGAAAGATAAAATGTATAAGGTCTCTCTTGCAAACCATGTTCGAAATGTGATCATGATTTTTCAATGTAATGACGCAGTCGATCGACCTACTACGTCCATCAAATCCATCAAAACACTTGAACGACCCAATGACGGTGGTCACTGGACAGCTGTTTGGTCAACGGTGGAAGCAAGAGACAAAACTTCGGGAAAAGTGGCGGAACGTCAATGTGCGTCTGTGCCTCCGCCGCTGACTACGACTAGTCGGATAAGAGTAACATAAAGAATGTGATACATTAGTCCATGCATCGTAGTGCTTTTCAAGTCAGCAAGAGTTTTAAATGTTACTGACAGCAAACCTGCAGTTTTCCTGAAGCAGAGCAGGAAAGTGGTAGCTTCATATGTTAATTTCTTATGTATTTTGATGATGGAGGCTTTTCCTTTGTGTCTCATGAAACGACTGTGATCTTCTTCTGGGCGAAGACTACTTGATGGGGTGTCAATTTACTTTCGGTTAAGTAGCATTCATCTGTCAACGAAATGCATGTAAAATGGAGAAGTTTCCTGCTTTTTGACAATTTTGGAATCAATCAGATTAATGACCATTGGCGTATCTGATCCTGTAAAAACTAAACGAGCCTTAAAGTGAGCACATTGCCTAGTACCTAAAGAATGAAACCGTTCGCTTCGCGGAATTTACTCTGGCCACTGAGTAAACGTTTGCGGAAGCGAAAAGCCAAAAAATATTAAATTGATAAATATTCGTTTAATTCAGCACATTTTTTGCAACAGTCAAATATAACAGGTGCATCCTAAAATGAATTTTTAATGCACTGGATTTGGTTCACTTGGATCAGCCGGGAATTGGCGACGAATCATGTCTGATGCAACACCTCTGCTATTCCTCGTTGTTGCCTCTACCAAGCGCGGCATTCCGGGATCTTAAAATAACATTCCCTCC